GATTATACCATTAGGTGCTGAAGGAAGAAAAAGTTAGGATCATCACAGCTCCATGGGAATGAGCAGCCAGGGATTTAGACTAGACAGGTGCTATGAGCCCAACAAGCCTGTGGAGTTATCTGCTCCTACCACTTGCATGTTGTCATGTATCAGTCTCAAGCACGCTAAAAGGTGAGCAGGTGTCAGTAACTTAACTAAATGATTTCAACAGTCATGCAAGAAGTCAGTCGCAGCCCTGAGCAAATAAATCCTGGGCCTCATGCAGCCTTGTGCTATCATTGCACTAGACCCACCTCTAAGTAAAAGATGAGCCCTGGAGCACTGGGGTCCCTCATTGTGGGACAGAGCACCAGGCGCACAACTTTGCAAATGCAGCCATGGAAACTATTGGAGCCAAGTTCTGCTGCCACTGAAGTAGATGGGATGCGGCCTCAGTAGGTGCTGTAAATCTAGGACAGCAGCTGTTAACTTACAGTCATTAAATGCCGTGTCACGGATGCTGGCAATGACAGTGGAATAGACAGCTGGGTAGTCAGGTGAACTGTCTATGTTCCTTGTAGCTCTCATGACTCCTCTTGTTTGACTTGCATTTGTACTAGGTAGCCCTGCTACAGCTTTGTCTCCACCAAATGTAACTTCTTCATTTCCACTCCTGCCAGGCAGGCCTGCAGTGCCTCTGATACCACAGACCAGAATAATGAACAAGCACCAGAGCTTTAACATCCTTGACTCCAGCACCTGTAAAGAGCTTTTCTATTACAGTCATCTGACAGTGCAGCTGTAATTAGCACAATGAGCAGAACATGTCTTGGTTTGGAAACATAGATAAACACATGTGAGAAGTAATGGAGCCCATGAGATAGAAAGAACTGAGGGAGAGTCTGCCTGATAAGGAACATGCCAGTACGAAGGACTACAGTGGGGAGTGCTCTAAAGGGACACATTATCCAGCATCACTCACTGGGTACTACATAGCTGCTTTCCTATTCTCTCCCATCTCCCCTTTAATAAGTCAGCCCCTACTACATCTCCTTCCCTGCCCCATATTCTAATCTCACTCAGTCCCTACAACTGAACACCCTTTTTCCCCCCCGTTACAAGCCTTCCTGCAACCCACCTCCAAAAGCCTCCATCACTGCAGCAAATTCCCTTTCCCATGCTCCATTCTAATTATCATCTTCTGCTATAGCTCTAGGGCTGTTTTTTTTCCAGGGTTCGGTGCACCTACACATATGTAGCCCCGGAACAAGACAGTATAGGATCAAGTGAATCAGTTAGCTTGTATAAAGGTACACCTCAGCTCCATAGCTGGAACGTGTTGTCCCAAAGGGCCACATTTTCTAAACTGCTCACAGCCAGGTGTCCATGGTTCAGTCCCCCACAAACAGTCAGTGCCAACATGGCCAAAAGTGCTCAGCACCCAACACGCCCCCAATGGGGCTGAGGCCTTTTGACAATTCTATCCCCAAATGCCTGGTCATTAGACTTGCCCAGTAGAATTGCTGTACCTGGAATCCCAAGGCACTGCTGTATCAGCAAGAAACTTCTGATCAACACAGGGTCTGCAGCAGCTGTAACAATTTTCCTCCTTCTCATTTGTAATCTCTGAGAACTGATAGCCATTATATACTGAATGTCCTATGTGTTAATGAGGGGGTAGGGGTGGGCTGAGTGCCAAGGTAATTGCTTTGGGCAACATACTCATGTGTTTTTACCTCTTGCCCCCTTCCAATGAAAATAAGTACAGGAGAATCTGATACTTTGGAGACAGCTGTGAGTTGCAGGTGTTCCATTTACATACAGGGTTAGAGCCAAGAGTTACCCAACTTCTTTGTACTCTAATGTATGTGACTGGTGAGGGGGAGGGAGTCACCTGCTAAGATATGACTTCTTGCAGAGAGAGGCTATGCAACAGGAAAATGGGTCTTTGAAGAGAGGGCTTGATCCCCACATACTAAGATCTGTGCAGGGACAAAGGTAGTTTTATGCAGCCTACACGCATGAAGTGAAATGCTGGGCCACTTTCACCCAGAACCAGTGACTAGATTTTTGGAGACAAACGGTAGAACGGGGAAGGACTCAGGTGAAAAGGAAAGGGATGCAGGAAGAGTGAAGGAATTGAAGAAGGAGAATAGGGACTGCAAATTAATTGTAAGAAGGGGACAGGTTGATGGGTAGTAGAGAGGGCAGTGGAAAGGAAACTGCAGCAAAGACAAGTTAGAAGGGAGACAAGGAAGGTGTGGGAGGAGAAGGAAGCCAGTTGGATGGAGACAGTGTGGTTAGAAGAAAGCTGACAATACTTTTGACAGATTGGGGGGTGGCAGCAGGTGGTGAGATCAAGCAGAGAAGGCAGGAAGCTGGAAGTAGGGAGGAGTAGATGGTATCAGGAGAATTACTCTCTAAGGCCTCTCCTGTTGATGCTGATTCATCATGGAAAGAAACACCCTGCCCTGCACAGCAGAGGGGGCAAATGTCTAAAGCAGTGATTCTCAACCTGGGTGCTGGGCTGCCCTGAGGTGCCTTGAGATCCTTTCAAGGGTGCCATGCAATCATGAATGACTGGTGCCTCCCAAGACTGGGGGGGCACCATTTATAGACAGCAGCGTCAGCAGTGAGTGGGGGACTGCCCGCAGATACCGGCGTTGGTGGCAGGGGGTGGCAAGCTGGGACAACCCACAAACACCAGTGCCAAACCACAGATGCCGGTGTGCCTCCCCGTGCCCCCACTATGAGTTGCCTATGCAAGCAATGTTAGCCATGCAACCACAAATCACAAGATAAACCCAGAGATTTCACATAGGAATCTGTAGTGTTAAAACATTTGGCTTTGTTGTTGTGGTCTATTTGAGTTCTCTGCAACAAAAGAACTGCTCTATTACTTTTCTGCAGTAAAAAGACAAGTGAAAATTAAGAGCTTGCATTTTCTGATGGGTGCCTTGAGGCTGAAAAAGTTGAGAACCCCTGGTCTAGATTTGCTGAAGGCAAGGACTTTTGTGCATGATATCTTTAAATGGGCCAACTACATTGGTCCCTAGTGATGAATAATGTCTTGCATTCAAAATCTTGTCTTACTTTATTGAAATTGTGCAGTTGGTCCAATGAAAGATATCACCAATAAAAACTCTTGCCTTGCACATACTTCCTGGACCATCATGGCTACAACATGACAAGACTACCAAAGCATAAAGCTTCTGGTCCAGTTTCAATAGAAATATTTTTCCACTCCAAAAATTACGTTAAATTATTATTTTTTGGTGGAAAATGTTTATTTTAATTTTATTTTTCTAAGAGAATTTTCAAAACAAAATTTAAAAAAAAAACTTTAAATTCCATTTTAGTTATTTAAAAAGAACAAAATCAAATTTTGGAAATGTTATATTTTGGGGTTTTTGTTCTTTTTCCTACTCAGTACAACAGAATGAAAGGAGGTCTTGGGCAAAAGGGAAGGGGGGTGGTGTTTACCACTTGGTTTTTCATTTTTATTTTGCCACCCAGTCATCGTTGCCAAATTGAAGAAGTATTTAAAAATCAGAAGAGAAAAAAAAAAGAAAAAGGAGAAAAGAAACAAGAAAGAAGAAAGAAGAGATAAAAGGAAACTAATACTATGTTTTCTTGCATGCTGGGATTAGAAAGGAAAGAAGAGAAAGAAAGGGGACAAAAAATAAACTTCTATAAAAAGATTGACTATTTTTTAAAACAGAATCAGAATGAATTCTTCAAGGTAAATATTTAGTTCTGAAATTCTCTTGTGACATTTCAAATAAATTTTTGTTTGAAATTTTTCGCAGGAAAAAGGGGGCTTTCAAACCAGCTCTACAAATGCTGACAGGACAAATCTGCAAAGTAATGGTGGGAGCCTGTTTTTCCAGGCACCTGTTAAGGAACTGAGTGTGCAGAACAATGCTTGTTTCTCTGGACTATCAGACTGAAAACACAGCAGCAATACAGGAATAGTGCAGGTAGTGTTACCAAAACCCCAGTACTATTTGGTCTTTAGAGATACAAGACTACCTTCTGTTTATGATCAGGACCTCTTTTGCAAGCTTGAATAGATAATTAGGGGAAACTTAAATTCCCTTCATGATTATCTGTTTTGTACATCAAATCAGAATGCAATGATACTTCCCAGAAATCCACCATTCCCTCTTAGCAGGTAGGGTATCAGATAAAGTGGCAAGAGACAGATTTATTGATTACTCTCCAAAGTACAAAATAAGCTCTTGTCTCAAGGGTGCACAATGCCTTTCTAGCTATCTGCAACAGCACAATACATATTCTTACCTATACTTGCTAGGGAGACTCTGGAGGGAGGAGGAGGGTGGTGCACAGATTGGCAGCAGGTCATCTTGAACTGTGTTACGTTTCCAAAATCCACCACTGTTTACACCCAGTATTTGTATGGCTAAGTATTATCAGATTGGTTTTATTCAAACTTCTTTGTTTCACTGAGACTTGGGGAACTGGACTGAACTGGTTTTTCTATGGACTTGGAAAGTATCAATGAGCTGGCGTCTGTGTAATTTGTGAAAATTACAGTCCTGGAAGGGAGGACTTCATATCTCTTTCCC